GGAGACACAACAGGCTGCTAGATGTTATTACATTTCCTTGATCAAGCTCTTGAAATCCAAAAATAATGGTGCAGCAAGTCCAGTCAGGGCCGGCTCAGGCACCAGCGGAGCAAGCTGGTGCTTGGGGCGGCAGATTCCAAGGGGCGGCATTCCAGCCGCCCTTTTTTTCCCTTTTTCTTTTTGGTGTGCTGCTCAGGCTGCCCTGTGGGGGGCGGCGGCCCAGAGGAGGGGAGCGCCCTGCAGCAAACTCGGCAGGGCAGCCCGCGTCCTTCCCTCCCAGCCAACAAGAGCAGCGCGGAGCCCTCCTCCCAGCCCAGATCCCTGCATCCTGCCAGAGGGGAGGCACTGAAGTGCCCAGACGGAGCCACCAGCCGGCTCCAGGAGACGTGGGAGCCCAGCACCGTAGCGGGAAGATGCACTGAGCTGCCCCCAGAGGTGGGGGCGCTGTTCCCGCTTGGCCAGGTCAGTTCGCGCAGGTCCGCCCCCAGTGCGGCCCCGGGGAGGGGTCACCAGCAGGCAGCCCTCTGGCGGGCGCGGAGCAGGCCCCAGTGTCCCGGCGCGCCAGCCCCTGGGGAGCGTGGGTTACTCTGCCATGCCCTGACTTCGGGAAAGTCCCGCTCGCGGGCGGTGCAGGGAAGCTTTCCTGGGACTTGGGGGCAGCGTGGATGGGGTGGCTCTGGCTGCGCCCGGTGGAGTCCGTGGGGGACAGGACACCCACAGATGTGGCCCCGGCACCTGGCGCTGGCCTGGGCCTCGAGGGACTTGCTCCAGGCGGGGCAGGGGCAATTGGGAAATAAACAAACTTGGGACCCACTCCCGGCAGCAGTTTTAAGCGCCCCCTCCCCCCCCTTGGTGGGGAGAGCGGCTTTGAAAAGCAGGGGACTGGCTGGCACCTGCTCCTCAAACTACCAGGCTGGGGCGGGGGTGTCTAGGTGCTCAGGACCCCAGCCTGAAGTTACTGAGAGTTTTGATTAAGAAACTACTAGACTTTGGCCCCAAATTTCCCCCTTCCCTGACCTCCCCCCCACTCCAGTAGAAATGGTTCATTGATTAGTCCATCGGGTGACCCAGTGGTTTGGTGCTGTTTGATTTCTGTTCTCACTGTGGTTGCATTTTACCAATGCAGCTTCTTGCATATGTGCATCTTCCCCCCCAGGGAGAATAGTGTAAGGATTTTTAGCAGGCAAATGTAGTTCACATTGCTCTGCAGCTGGGAGATTTGTGGGCTTGAGAATCCCTAAATCCTCATT